ATGGGGGTGACAAGCAGGTTGGATGGGACAAAAAAGGGACAGGAGGGAGTGGGGCGGAGGAGGGGACTTCAGGTGGGGGATGGGGAGGTGTGGCGCCACTCTGTGAGGGTGGAACGGGCCAGCTCAGCAGGAAATCGGGTGCTATTTGATAAAATAACAGAATCGCCGTCTGGCCACACAGGGCTGCGGCGAAGAGGGGGAAGGGGGTGGGACCGGGGAGGGGGAAGAACAACGCCAGAGCGTTTTACGCCTGAACACCATGGGGCACGCTGTGCTTGCAACGCTTGGATCCGCTCTGCTAGCTCCGCTGGGGCGCGTCCAAAGGCCCCTCCCCCTCCCAGCTCCCCGTCTCTCTTTTTCTTCCCCTCTCTCCTCTACATCTCTTCATTTTATCAAACAATTCCCTCTCTCCATCCCAAGCAGAATAGCGACGTGGAGCACTATATAGTTTAGAAGGCCGCGGCGATGGTGCTGTGTGACTTTCCGACCGCCCACGCCCACCCCGGTCGGCACACTGTTGAGAGGAGTACTGTACAGTAGGGTTGGGCATTCACCCACTCTGGTCGGCAGTGTAGTCACACAGTCCTTAGCCGTCACATTAGCGCCGTGGCTAAGTGATGTTCCCATGGCGTTATACCCTGCGAGGATAAACTCGGGGCGGGGCGAGGACGGGTGGGGGGAAGGAGCGGCTGCAACCAGAGTGTTTGGGGGGTCCTTCATTCACCCTCCACTGAGTATCGCGCACATATATAAATGTATTTTTCCGCTCGGCCGGACACGCACGTTCGCGTACACGAACACCGTCCGGCGCTGCGCCAGTCGCGCGGCGAGCGCCCCGTAGGTAGGCGACCCGGCCGCAGCCCCACGGAGGTGTCTGCCTACCCCCGCGGGGGCCGGGGGGGCGAGCCGAGCGCCGCTGAGAGGGTCTCAGAGCTAATAGACATTCCCTGTTGGTCTTCCCTAACTGCTCCCGCATTACCATATTTGGCGCCGTTCCGTTCCGTTCCGTCCGGCGGTTGGTTGGTCGGTCGGTCGGTTTGTTGGTTGGTGATGGTTAGGCGAGCTCCGGGCGGACACGGCTAAGCACTCTGCTCGCCACTAATTGCTCAGCCTGCGGAGCCTGCGAGGCGAGAAAGCGGCCGGGGTTTTGTCAACTCGGCATAAGCAGCGAGGAGATTGTCCCGCGGTTACGGGACGGGGCCCCTCTGTATTCCATTAGGCTTTTAGGGCGGCTGGTCGTGATCTGGGGAGCAGAGCAGAGGGGGAGCTGGCCCACCAACGGGGGTGGCGGGAAAAACTTCTCTCATTCAAATCAGTATTATTATTATTGTTATTATTGTTAATCGCCGGGGAATGGACGGCGGCGTATATACGATACGCACGCGCGCAACAGAGGGAAATTTGTAAACTTGAAGCCGCGTGCGGCTCCCGGACAAATCTGGCCGTCCCACGTAAATAAATAATAGCGGTCGTAATGCGAATAACGCTTTGTGGCCGTCGTTTAACTGCTTTTGGACGCCTGCTGCTTCCCCGAAGGCGGGGGGTGGCGGATGTCACTCTGGGGCCACCCCCATCTCTCTCTCTCTCTCTCTCTCTCTCTCTCTCTCTGGGGATGACGAAGGAGGAGGGGTAGTCCCTGCGGACAAACACCACAATAGCACACTCCCTGGAGCTGACTGCTCGCTCGCCCTTTCTATGGACACAAGTTTCAATATATTGTACTCGAAATCAAAATAATTTCACACATACTTACTGCGATGCGCTAGAACTTAAGGTTAATACGATTTTAACTACCCCCTTTCGCTTTTGCCCCTTCTTAACACCTTATTTTTCATCCACCGCCTTCTGGTCGTTTGGGACAACGCCTTTTTCAATGTCACACATCACTATGTATAGTGATTTTCTTTACCAAAATAAAAAGGAGTGTGTTAATCCAAAATCATCCATAAGGAGCAATAATTATTATACTCAAATGGAGCGACGAAACAAGAACATAGGTCTTATTGAGCAACGATAAATTCCGTCACTCTTTTTAGAGACACGAAACGTCACCCTAGCAATTCCAGAGACGAGCACAAGTATTTAACATACGCCCCCAAAAGCAGCTCAAACTTTGTTCGCAGGGACCGCGGTGGTCTGGGCGGGCCTGACGCCTGGCTGGCAGCGTACTGAGATGTTCTTACGCCCGTCCGCCGACCAGTCACACAGCTGGCAGCATATGGCCATGGCCTCGGCCATGGCATATATTTCTCAACAGCGGAAAACAATATTGTTGTCGGAGAAATTTAAAAGCAATCTCTCACACGCCAAATGTTCTTGCGTGAATCCGAACAAAAAACAAATCAGCAAATAATCAGGAGAAACTCCGTTTTTACTTCACTTAGGGATGACTGTATCAATTCTTTCCCCCCACAGCCATTCACGAATAAATGGCATTTTTCGAGCAAACATGGGAATCCATACACGCGCCGAGTTCGCGACAACGTAGCCGGGCTTTTGTGAGGAAATCGCTGTGCCTGGAGGCAGGGCGAGGAGGGAGGGGTGGGCGCAGGGGAGGAGCAAGCGAGGGGGGGGGGTAGCAGCAGGGATAATAGCGCTCTGAGGGGAGGGAGAGCATGGTGGGTGAGAAGAGTCTGCTGATGTGTTGTTGTGGCTTGCCCTTTTAATTCTATTAGGATAATTTTGTTCCGGTGGACGCTTTTCCGCGACATTTCGCCCTCTCTCTTCATAGGAACGTGACGTTGGAAATCTTTCGGCATTTATCGCGTTTATATTTCCGCGAGTGATAGCGCATTAAAATTGCAATGACAAGCTGTGCTGCAGTCAGCGCATTCAGCGGTATCGGCAATCGGCCCAATCGGCCGCGGGTGGGCTCCACAACCAGCAGTGACGCGCTGTCAGCGGATATGGATGTCGATGTCTCACGGATCGAAGTAAAAGGAGCCCTTTGGCCCGCGGCGAGAAACTTGTACTTTCAGTCGCTTCCATTGCATTCCATTGATTAAAATTCTGTGCACGTCATCATGAAGAGTAGGCATTTGTAAAAACTTACAGTCGAGCTTACAGTTTAGGTTTTCTCATTTTTATCTCAAGGGAAACAGATTAAACGCCCAAAACCCCTTTCCTTTTCTCATTTTAGCTAGGCCAGCAAAGAGGCATGAGAGGACAACCGAAAAAGCCCAGGAGAAACTTGTGGAGGCAGCGTGGAGGCACCTCGGAAAGGACAACCCGCAGGCAGCCTGCAGGCAGCCAAAAGACAGTCTCCTGGGGGTGACCCCCCTTCCCCCTTACAACCAGCTCCCCTCTCTCATCCGAACTATGTGGTGATTGACTTATGGCACTTTTATTATTCGTACAAAACAGCAGACATTTAACAATGAGAGAATATTACAAATTAGTTTTGAATAATTATATATAACAAAAGTGAGAAAAACAAAGTTTTTTATAAAGTGGGTAAATCCAGTGAGATGACAGCTTTATTAATACACGCAAATTTCTTGTAGCATACTGTACACTCACCCGTTTGGGTCCGGAGATGTGAGTTCAAGAGGCTCTTTAGCGCTAATTTTATTCAAAACAAGGCTCTCGCCTGTGTGTTTTGAGAGGTGTTTGCGGAGATGGTCAGCACGGTTAAATTTCTTGTTGCAAATTATGCACTTTAAAGGCCTAGGCCTCTCCCCTGTGTGTGTCCGGTGGTGTGCGCGGAGACCATTCGAATTTGCAAATTTCATGTTGCAGACGATGCACTCAAAAGGCCTTTCTCCTGTGTGTGTCCGGAGGTGTACGCGAAGGTTACTCATTACTGCAAATTTCTTGTCGCAGAGTGTACACTCGAAGGGCCTCTCTCCTGTGTGGGTTCGGAGGTGTTTGCGCAAAGTATCAGAGCACGCAAATTTCTTGTTACAGAGTGTACACTCAAAAGGTGTCTCTCCTGTGTGGGTCCGGACGTGTTGGTTTAAGCTGCCCATTTGTGAAAATTTCTTGTTACAGAGTGTACACTCAAAAGGCGTCTCTCCTGTGTGCTTCCGAAGGTGTACGCGCAGGTGATTATCACCCGTAAACTTCCGAGGGCAGAGTGTGCATCCGAAGGGCTTCTCTCCCGTGTGGGTCCTGAGGTGATGGCGCAGATACTTGTCATGCGCAAACTTCTTGGAGCAGAATGTACATTCGAAGGGCTTCTCTTCTGTGTGGGTCCGTAGGTGTTGGCGCAGATGCAGAGCAGCACTAAATTTCTTGCCGCAGACACTACACTCAAAAGGCCTCTCTCCTGTGTGGGTTCGGAGATGTGTGTCCAAGTTGACCTTTCGAGTATATTTCTTGTCGCAGAATGTACACTCGAATGGTTTCTCTCCTGTGTGTCTCCGGAGATGTTTGTCCAAGTTGCCTTTTTGATTAAATTTCTTGTCGCAGAATGTACACTCAAAAGGCGTCTCTCCTGTGTGGGTCCGGAGATGTTTGCCGAAGTTGGTCTTGTCAGCAAATTTCTTGTTGCAGAGTGAACACTCGAAAGGCTTCTCTCCTGTGTGGGTCCGGAGGTGTTGGCGCAGATGATGTTCACGTGCGAACTTCTTGAGGCAGAGGGTACATTCAAAGGGCTTCTCTTTTGTGTGGGTCCGGTGGTGTACGTGCAGATGATGTTCACGCGCGAACTTCTTGTCGCATAATGTACACTCGAATGGTTTTTCTCCTGTGTGGGTTCTCATGTGATTGGCAAGGTTCCCCTTTCCTTGAAACTCCTTGTTGCACAGGTCACATTGGTGTGGCATAGTAGCACAAAAGGTCCAGTGATTCTGGAGAAAAAAAAATTGGTAAACATTAGTTCTGGACATGTGCTATTCTTATCCATCTTTACCCTGAAAAGGAGATGGGAATCTGAAATGCCAAGCGCGATCGCTGATAACCTGCTCACCTTTCAGGTCACCAAAGGTCCGTCGTTGGTTCGAATACTCGTCGGTCCCAGGTGCAGCAGCTAGTCGTCGAACACTTACGGAGGAGGCGCTGGAGTCAATCTGGCGGACACACTGCCCATGGGGCGCCGATGAGGTGCAGGTCGCTTATCACCACTCACGGACACACCTGGGCGACTTGCGCACTTGGACTGATGCAGTGCAGTGCAGACCGCCGGGGTCCAGGTCCAGGGAGGGTCCACCAGAGAGAACAGAAGTACCTGGTTATCTCTGGGGTCCACCACCGGGGTCGTCCCCCCGCCCCGCCCCCGGCCGCCCTTCCCTCCCCTGCCGTTCGAGGGATTAGCGCCAGCAGCGGGCGACTGGAGATGGAGACACTGCTGGGGATCCCCGGAAAGGAAGACGCCCCCGCGCCCGCGGCCGCAGCAACCGAGCGTTCCGTGTCCAGTCCCAGAGCGGGAGGGGCACACTTTGCGCTAAGGGACTGTCTAAAATTTGAACTAAAAATGTTTCCAATTTAGGAATAGCCACGTTACGGGGATTATACCTACTTAAATTTACGAAGATTTTCTACGCGGCAACAGTAAAATATTCCACACACACAAAGCAATGATTTTATGTTTATAACGCTCAGGGGCGTCGACAAGTCGACTTTTCAGGGGGGGGGGCAAACCGTTCGAAGTTATGAAAGTTGCCTACCTA